CGAGGACGATCCAGTGAAGAAGGGTGGTTTACCGAAGACAATAATAGTGCCCTGTTTCTGAATTGGGTAGCGGCGGAAACATCACTCTTCCACCCCCTGCAGTTCCAATCACGGTGAAGTACCCCGAGGACGTTTGGGTGAAGCGATCGAGCTCATGGGAGCGGCGGATCAGAACAGGTTAGAATACTGGACCGTATTTAAAAAGCGGTGGAGAGAACTGGATCGTAACTCTATAAACATTAAAGTATATACCCAAAATCGAAAATTTACAAATACTATACGAATGAATTTTGGATCCGGGGAAAGCTGAACCGTGACCCGGGACGACCTCCTGGATCCGCCGTTGATTGCCGGACCACTCATCGTTTTCTATAGATAGGCCGCATAACTTCAACGGGGTCGGAAATATTACCCCTCCCACCTAGGGGGCAATACAAGTGACATTATTTCAATCACACGTACGCGTCTAGAAGGTCAACTTTAATTGATTAATTAAGGTTGCTGGCAATCTGCAGGTATGCATTGAAATTGATTGCGTTATGGTCCTGATGGGCACGCACCAATCGTTGACGACTCGATCTAGAACGGTGAAATTGACTTTGCTAGGTCGATTAGGATAAATAAAATCCTCGTGGTACTAAGGGGCCCTATTCAACAAATATGCATAGTACAGGGACTTAAAATGTCTTTACTATTCTTATTATTCTCCCTATGGGTGGTAAACGGTCGGTAATCGGTTAAATCGATAATCGGTCGGTTATTTACTTATCAGTTACCGATATAACCGAAACTCGGTCAGTTATCGGAGGCTGGACGAGATGATTTTGGTCTTGGAGGACTAACCGAATCCTATTTCGGTCGGTTGTCGGTTGGGGATCGGCCTTTTGGTTAATCGATAACCGACTGACCGGTTATCAGTGATAACCGAAAGTAACCGACCTCCACCCCTACTTCTTCTTCCCAGCAACACTTCCAGGTTAAGTTGTTCCCTTCAAAAATTGAAAATAGCTTTTGAGGTTGCAGCAGCGGCGGATCCAGAACACAGAAGAGCACTGGGCCGCATTTCATTAGAATATCAGAATCGTAAAAAAATATTATAGTTTTTTTACAATATAAATTGTACATGATGGTATTTTAATTTAGCGAATACATCAATAATGGAGTCTACATCCATACCAATAGTATACACTGTTTTAAATAAAATACTTGAGCAATCGGCGAGAAATTCATTGCTCGTTTTGTTGCATAAATAAGTTTTCATATGTTTCATTGTTGAAAAGGTTCTCCCCGTAGTAATTGGTGATACGATCAGCGTCAACGCTAGACAAATCAATCGTGCATTGTGTGTCCATACCTATATCCACTAGCTGCTTTAGTAAATTTCCAGGGAATAAAACTCATATTTCTTATAGTCTTTTACGTTTAGACTTTCAGATTTCATTGTTTTTTTAGAAGAATAATCTTTGGAGGTAGAATTTCTAGGCTAAATTTGTAGTAGTGATTTTAATATGTTAATTTGAATCATTTTTTTAGTTACACCCAATTTTGTTGTAAAATAACACTGAGCCGAATAACTAAAATCGAAAAATTCATAAAGACTATACTAACTCCGGATCCAGAGAGGGCTGGGCCTGGGCCCGGGGTGGCCACCCCCTGGATCCGCCAGTGGGTTGCAGCGAGGGAACTGGGAACATGACAACAAACCTGAAACTGACGGGGAAGCTGCAGCGGCGTCGGCAATGCGGTCGAGCGCTAGGGTCGACGGAGAGGACGCGGCGCAGGGTCAACGGAGAGGTTGCGGTGCTGGAATGGGCTACTACGTCGCGGTTCGTTGATTTGAGTGCGTCGGCGTCGGAAGGAACATCGATTGTCGATTGGGGTTCTGATTAGGCGACGGAACTCGTGATCGTGAGGGCTGGCTGTTGGGAAAGAGGGAAGGAGAATTATTAATCTGTAATTACTAATTCCTTTTCCTAATAGAGAACCAATTGCAAGTTTATAACTAATTAGGATAATCTTAGGAGTTAGGACTCAGATTAGAGATTTACTTCCGTACTGCGTCCTGCAATTCCGATATCGAAAAATCGCTTGTTCGTCGATTAATTAGCTTTCAGTTATCGGTATACCGCTGTCCCAAATTTTCATTCCGACTACCATTACCGCCCGCTTAACGATTTAACTGATAATCACAATAATCATTAAGATTACTAGTTAAACCGTTAATCGGAAAACCGAATCCCATCCCTTCTCCCCCCATAATAAACAACTTCTCCGTTATTGTCAATACATCAGGAATATGGGTGTTTCTCCTATCTGCTGACGTTTTAAATGCGGTTTTTTTTAAATTTATTTTACATAAACTCAATCCGCACTACAAGCCATGACGCAGGCCAAAATCAACTCAAGCACACCTTTCTAGAACTATTTAGTTTTTTTTTTTTGGTACAAGAAAATCATCCTGCTCGATCCCTTTGTTTTATATGTGTTCATTGTTTATGTTTATATGGGAAGCATATGATTCGATTATACCTGCTTTTGGTGGCTCTATTCTCTTCTTGATACATGTACATGGGCGATGCGTCACCAATTAGTTTTGAGCAGACTTTCGACGAAGGAGACGAGGTATGGGCGAACTGCTGGGTCGGATTCGCTGCTCAACGAGCTTGCAGTCTAATTCTATGATAGGGTCACAAAAAAAAAAAAAAAAAGCGAATGATAAATCAAATAATAACGATGGAGAATTCGCTATAATTTCATCTGGTTCAGTTTTTAAATTAATGTACAAAACATTTCAGATTTCGAATAAAACGAAAGACAAAAAGTGATCAGGAGTGGTTCATGCATATATTTCTCGGAATATATATAAAATGCATAACATTGTGTACATCACAATGTATATGTTTGCTTTGTGAGAAACGTTTAAACATTCGAGTTAAAACAAAGAAGATGCATCGCTGCAGCAGGTCCGGCCAAGAGGGTGTGGTGTGTTAGGTGGCCCTCAGATTATTAGGGGCCTCCACCTGGATCTGTTAGTTAACCCGATCGTACATTGTAAGTTAATAATATTAGTGTTAATTAATTGATTATGAGTCTAATAATGAGTTTAATTAATTATATGAATTAATATTACTATTAGTCATTGGTTAATAATCTCATGTATATATACATTGCACACTTATGTTGATTGTTAAAGTATTGTTTGTGTTTCAAAAATTCTATTTGCATTAAAAAGATAACACAAGAAAATTTTAATGAAACATCTATGATAACAATTGAAATGATCCCATTAAGAATATGAAAATTAGAAGCATAATACAATCATTTTAATTTTATTATCAATTTGGACTACATCTTAAATTTGGAACAGGGTCTCAATGATCCATTGGACGGCTCTATGCATTCATAATTAAAAACTAAACATCTTTTAATGGCAACCAAACCTACTTAAAATTAAGTAACCCGAACATAGCCAAACCCCATTTTTGTTCGTTTGTTACTTTATTTTTAGTTAATTGATATCATATTGGCGCCCCACGCCGAAGATAACGTGCAGAATGGAAAATTATTTAGGCGAAACACGAAAGCCCAGCCTGTACAATTATACTTAACTTAAACTTAATTATTCCCGCGTTCAGCTGGTCAAATTGTACCCTCCATCCCACATTAAATAAATCTGGCATCTACTCCTGCTTATTTACCTCTCTCTCTCTCTCTTTTCCCCACGTGTATTCTAGGGTACACATCACTCCAATAATTTATAGGATCCCACGTTTTGATCCTTCAACTATCTTTTTTGGGAAACTCTAATCCTTAAACTAGTGCTTCTAACATTTTCCACCTATCAAATTCTGTTGTTAACTTTTTTACCTAGATTCAAAGCATGTCCGTAGTAACATTCATCAAACAACTACAACGCATAACGAATTTGATTCATCCAATTTTTCTCCCCTGACTTGTTTCGAATTATGCCTTATCCATAGTGCCTATTGACAGAGGAAGATTTCGAGTCCTCCTCTAATCCTACCACATACTCATCTCGTTGTATTCGAAATATGTAAAATATTTATCCGAACGAGCCAACCTACATTCATCTCGTAGATCTAGCCAAAATATCTAACATCTGACGCCGTTAGGGATGGCAATGGGTCGGGTCGGACGCGGATAGTGCATATCCGTTACCCTACTCATAGTAGTTCGGGTTTTACCCATACCCATACGGCCATACCCACATGTGAAACGCGCAGAAAATCAAAACCATGCTCGTACCCGTCGGGTTTCGGGTATCCACGGTTATCCATGGGTAATAATTCTCTTCATAACTCCAACCAATATGTTAACATTCACACGTATTCTCACATTACGTAAGAAAAAAGTACGACAATAATTCACTAGAATGAAGAAAATTAATTAAAACTACACAATTTCATGAAAATATTATATTTATATGCTAAATATAAAACATGCTAGAGAAAAATAATGATTATTTCTAGACAAAATACATATGCATGTGTACACATCGGGCGGGTTCGGGTTAGTTAGTGAGAAACCCATGCCCACCCATTACCCGAAATATTCGGGTTCGGATTTTACCCGTACCCACTAAATGTCCTTCGAGTTCGGGTTTTACCCTACCCAATTAGGCCGGATTCGGACGGATATCCACGATTATGGATATTTTTGATATCCCTAGACACCGCATTGCCATGACTAGTTTGCTAATAACCAAAAGTAACAAAACTTTCAGATCTAAACATTTGTACTCAAAAGATTTTTTTTTTTTTGGGACGAAATGTACTCGAAAGATTTGTTAATTGTGCAATTAGCAAAAAATTTAACGTATAGTAGTACCCCATCAATGTTTTTGAAGTCCCCACATGGCACATGCTTCACATTAAAGTCCCCTTTCTTTGAAACCGTTCCCTCGGAAAGCCTCGACAAACAAGTAAAATATGGCTAAATTATTCCAAGTTTGACGATTCCACAGAAAGCCAATCCAACTTCACTTCCCACTGCCATTTAAAAACCTCTCCATTTCCCTCCCATCTCCAACAACAACACACCACTCACCTTCTTCTCCTCCTCCTCCATTCTCCTGGGAAACCTCAAGAACCCAACTCATCATCTCTGCTGCAACAGTTCCTGAGTTCTTGACCTTGGATTTTGTTTTACTCTTCTGGGTTACTGGCCCATCGGCCCAGAAAAAATGGACACCGGGGATCTGTACAGTGCGAGGAACAGCCTCCGGCACGGCGGGTCTGCTTCCATGTGGCGGAGCAACCCGTCGGAGTTGTTCTCTGCTTCTTCGAGGGAGGAGAACGACGAGGAAGCGCTGAAATGGGCTGCACTCGAGAAGCTCCCCACTTACGATCGGCTCAGGAAAGGCATACTGGCCAGCGCTTCCAAGACTGAGCTCAGCGAGATCGACATCCAACATCTCGGAACCGAGGAGAGGAAGATTCTCCTTGACCGCCTCGTCAGAGTTGCCGACCAAGACAACGAGAACTTCTTGTTGAAGCTCAAGAGCAGAATCGACAGGTAATCAGTCAGCTGCATTTTGTTGTTTTTGGTTCCAGCAAGAGGGGGAAGTAATTAGACCAGGAAACAGAGGAGCTCTGTTCTGCATTTTTGGAGTATGAATATCAGCTAGTACCAGTAGTTATATGCAATATCTCAGATCTAACTGATTCCTTTTGACGGTTCACAATAATCATTTGCTTAAAAAGAAAACAAGAGGGTAAATTTTTTTTTATGGGTACCAGAAGGAAACCTAGACTAAGAACAGGGGAGTTCTCTTTGAAGGAAACCTAGACTAAGAACAGGGGAGTTCTCTGTTTTCCTTTTCTTATCCCCCAACCTTTTCCATTCTGATTATGGGGCTTGTTTCTGAAGGGTTGGAGTGGAGCTGCCGACGATTGAAGTTCGATACGAGCATCTAAATGTCGAAGCAGAAGCTACGGTTGGGAGCAAATCTCTGCCCACGTTCACCAACTTCACTCTAGGAATCTTCACGGTAAGATAGAACACTAAAATTTCTTTCTTTGTGTTCCTTTTTCTTTCTTTCGGCTGGATGTTTTGTGAACTCACAAGAACTGTCTGCATCTTGAATAGGATCTCTTGGATGCGATGCACCTTCTGCCCAACAGAAAGAAACATCTGACAATTCTCAGTGACGTTAGTGGAGTCATCAAGCCCGGCAGAATCACTCTGCTTCTGGGTCCTCCAAGTTCTGGGAAGACAACGCTATTGCTAGCTTTAGCTGGAAGGCTGGATTCCAGTCTGAAGGTGTCAGGGAGAGTGTCCTACAATGGTCATGATATGCACGAGTTCATCCCCCAGAAAACTTCAGCTTACATTAGCCAGCATGATCTTCACATGGGTGAGCTGACCGTCAGGGAAACGTTGGCTTTTGCTGCCAGAGTCCAAGGAGTTGGATCTCTACAAGGTTAGCTCTTTTCCTTCTCTCTCTCTTTTTTTTATGTTGATTGTGTATTGGTTGATGTTCAATTATGGGCTGCTAGCTAAATCACAACATGTTGTGCGAAAATTTGCAGATATGTTGGCTGAGTTATCCAGAAGAGAAAAGGCAGCAAATATTAAACCTGATCCTGATATTGATGTCTTCATGAAGGTGAGTCATCAAGGCTACTCTATACCAGTAGCCATTAAGTTAGTTAGGAATATGAATTAAGATCACAATTGAAATTCCAACCTATAGGAATCATGATTCCATTTGTATTTAACCATTGACTTTCTGAACCATAGGCTGCAGCTACTGAAGGTTTGGAGAGCAATGTGATTACAGACTACATTCTCAAGGTAATAAAATGTTGAAGTGCTACTGCTATTTAACAGTTCATAACGAAGAATTCCATAATTTTATCTGTTTCTAATCCATTTTTCACTTTCTGGAATTGGATATTATAGATCTTAGGGCTGGAAGTTTGTGCAGACACTCTTGTGGGAGATGAAATGATCAGAGGTATCTCTGGAGGACAAAGGAAGCGTGTTACTACTGGCGAAATGCTTGTTGGACCATCAAGGGCATTGTTCATGGATGAGATCTCAACTGGTTTGGACAGTTCCACAACATTCCAGATTGTGAACTCCCTGAAGCAGCAAAATCACATCCTCAATGGCACTGCAGTCATTTCCCTCCTCCAGCCTGCTCCCGAGACATACAACCTCTTTGATGACATCATTCTGGTGTCCGATGGGCAGATTGCGTACCAAGGCCCTCGCGAAAATGTGCTCGAGTTCTTCGAGCACATGGGATTCAAGTGTCCTGACAGGAAAGGAGTGGCTGATTTCCTGCAAGAAGTGAGTGTAAAAAATTATAGGCATTGCCAAAGTTCCACATTTTTGTGGCTAGATACTGAAATTATGGCTCTTCTTCACTATTCCAGGTCACATCTAAGAAGGATCAGAGGCAGTATTGGAGTAGAAGGGATCAACCATACCGTTTCGTTACAACAAAGGAGTTTGCTGAGGCTTTCCAGTCGTTCCACGTGGGAAGAAAGATCGGAGATGAGCTGTCAGTTTCTTATGACAAAACCAAGAGCCACCCTGCTGCCTTGTCAACCAAGAAATATGGAGTTGGGAACAAGGAGCTCTTGAAGGCCAACTTTGCAAGAGAGTTCTTACTCATGAAAAGGAACTCATTTGTCTATGTCTTCAAGCTTACCCAGCTAATCATCATGTCACTGTTTGTTATGACGGTCTTCCTACGAACCGAGATGCACAGGGACACGGTTGCGAATGGGGGCATTTACGTGGGTGCTCTCTTTTTCACATTGGTTATGCTCATGTTTAACGGAATGGCTGAGCTTCCAATGACCATTGCAAAGCTTCCCGTGTTCTACAAGCAAAGGAATTTGTTCTTTTACCCGTCATGGGTATACTCCATTCCGCCATGGCTTCTGAAGATTCCTGTCACCCTCTATGAAGTTGCTGTTTGGGTCTTCATGACTTACTATGTCGTTGGTTTTGATCCCAGCTTTTTAAGGTAAATTAAGGCTCTTTGATAATACTAATTCTAGGTTTTGATCCCAGCTAAATTAAGGCTCTTTGATAATACTAATTATTGTGTTATAACTTATAACTGTGATGTGATAATGCAGGTTGCTCAAGCTTTATTTTGTACTGGTACTGATTAATCAGATGGCATCTGCTCTCTTTCGATTCATTGCCGCAACTGGAAGGAACATGATTATTGCCAACACCTTTGGCTCATTTGTCTTGCTTCTGCTCTTTGCATTGAGTGGATTCGTCCTGTCACGAGGTTGGTTGTTAGTTACATTGGTTTCTTTACTTATGTTAACTAGATTTAGGGCTTTGTAATGTGATAACATTTCTTCTTGGTTTATTATCACAGAGGATGTAAAGAAATGGTGGCTTTGGGCTTATTGGGCATCACCCATGATGTATGGGCAGAATGCAATAGTAGTCAATGAATTCCTTGGACACAGTTGGAGCCATGTACCTTCCTTATTCCCACCTGCAATTATCATTTCAGTTCTTCTTTTCTTTTACTTTTTTCGCTTTATTCTTGGTACTGATTTCATCTCCATTTGTTCCTTGATTCAGATTCCACCCAACTCTACTGAATCACTAGGAATCCAAGTGCTAAAATCTCGTGGGTTCTTCACGGAAGCCTATTGGTATTGGCTAGGAGTGGGAGCATCTCTAGGGTTCCTGTTCCTATTCAACATTTGTTTTGTCATTGCTCTTACTTTCTTGGACAGTAAGTAACGCCACCCAAGAATAAATTGTTCAGGTTCATACTTCTAGTGCAAGGAACCTGAACTCTTTGTGATTTGTTAATATGGACAGAGTTTGAGAAGCTTAAGGCTGTCATACCTGAAGAAGGTTCTGCAGGAGCTATTGAGATGTCACTACACAGAACTGAGGAAATAGACGACGAGGCCAGTGGAAGCAAGAAGAAAGGGATGGTTCTTCCTTTTGAGCCTCATTCCCTGACCTTCGACGACGTTATATACTCAGTTGACATGCCACAGGTTAGTAGTTAGAACAAAAAGAATTACTAGCAAGCAAAAAGAAAATTGTATGTTCGATTCTCGTTATTTGTGGTTAAATAATTAACCATTTCCCTTTTCCTTTTACCTCAAAATCTACCAGGAAATGAGGAGCCAAGGTGTTACTGATGACAAGCTTGTGCTTCTAAAGAGTGTTAGTGGTGCTTTCAGGCCAGGTGTTTTGACAGCACTCATGGGAGTCAGTGGTGCTGGTAAAACCACTCTCATGGATGTGCTTGCTGGAAGGAAAACCGGTGGCTATATCGAAGGAAGTGTCACAATTTCTGGGTTCCCTAAGAAGCAAGAAACTTTCGCTAGGATTTCAGGGTATTGTGAGCAGAATGATATCCATTCCCCGCAAGTTACTGTATTCGAATCTTTAGTATACTCAGCTTGGCTGCGTTTGCCTCAGGAAGTAGATGAAAAAACCAGAATGGTAAGTTATCCATCCTCGACTACACCAGAAACAGAGTTAATGCGTGAACTCTTGTGTGGGTATGGAAGATCAAGCTAACTTGCATCCGTTTTGTATGCCACAGTTGTTTGTTGAAGAAGTAATGGATCTTGTGGAGCTGAACCCCATACGTAACTCTTTGGTGGGACTCCCCGGTGTGAATGGCTTGACTACTGAGCAACGTAAGAGGCTAACCATTGCGGTCGAGTTGGTGGCGAATCCATCCATCATTTTTATGGACGAGCCGACCTCAGGGTTGGATGCTAGAGCTGCTGCCATTGTCATGAGAACGGTGAGAAACACCGTCGACACAGGTAGAACAGTTGTTTGCACCATCCATCAGCCCAGCATCGATATCTTTGAAGCATTCGATGAGGTAAGTTATTATCAATCAACTAGCAAAAGTGCATAACTATTAGAAGCAAGTCAAGTGAACTGCATTGTTACCCATTTTGAAAATTTCTTTTTGGCATTGTTTGCAGCTCTTCCTGTTGAAGAGAGGAGGACAAGAGATATACGTTGGCCCTCTAGGCCGCCACTCCGCCCAATTGGTGAAATACTTTGAGGAAATTCCAGGAGTGAGCAAGATCCAAGACGGTTACAATCCAGCAACTTGGATGCTAGAGGTGACCACCACTGCGCAAGAAATGTCTCTCGGGGTCGATTTCACAGACATTTACAGGAACTCGGACCTCTACAAGAGAAACAAGGCCTTGATCAAGGACTTGAGCAAAGCAGCCCCGGGTGCCAAAGAACTCTACTTCCCAACACAGTACTCTCAACCATTCATGACACAGTGCCTGGCTTGCCTGTGGAAGCAGCACTGGTCCTACTGGCGAAATCCTCCATACACCGCGGTCAGGTTCCTATTCACAACCTTCATATCCCTCACATTTGGGACCATTTTCTGGGATCTCGGCGGCAAAACAACCAGGAACCAAGACCTTTTCAATGCAATGGGAGCAATGTTTTCAGCAGTGGTGTTCTTGGGGGTACAGAATGCATCATCAGTGCAGCCAGTGGTAGCCATTGAAAGAACTGTGTTTTACCGGGAGCGAGCAGCAGGGATGTACTCGGCAATGCCATATGCCTATGCACAGGCAATCATAGAGGTTCCATATATCATGGTCCAGTCTCTGGTGTATGCATTGATCACATACTCCATGATGGGGTTCGAGTGGCGCGCAGAGAAGTTCCTGTGGTACATCTTCTTCATGTTCACCACTCTCCTCTACTTCACCTACTATGGGATGATGACCGTCGCAGTCACCCCGAATCACCACATTGCATCAATCATCTCTTCCTTCTTCTATGCCATTTGGAATCTCTTTTCCGGGTTCATCATCCCCAGACCGGTAAGTCCTAATTTATATATCATTCATGATTTCAATCTTTACATGACTAGGAATGAATTCTGTGACTAACCCATTTGTGATTTTGTGATGATGATTGCAGAGCCTTCCAGTGTGGTGGAGATGGAGTTACTGGGCCAACCCGATCTCATGGACATTGTATGGTTTGATTGTGTCCCAATATGGAGATGTGAAGACACAGTTAGATGGAGGGCAAACTGTGGAGGATTTCCTGAGGAGCTACTTTGGGTTCAGGCACGATTTCTTGGGTGTCATTGCTGGAGTGATGGTTGGATTGGTGGTCGTCTTCGCCTTCATCTTTGCCGTCTCCATCAGGGCTTTCAACTTCCAGAGAAGATAGATAGACCCACAGATACATTTGTTTTCAAGAAGCAGTCGAACAATAAGAACACAAAACTGTTACCTTCTCTGTCTGCTACAACTTTTTGGGTTTTGTAGATTTGTTAGGTGCTTTACATTTGATCACTTTGAGATAAGCAACGTCTGCAGATTGCTTTTAACTTTCAAGTCATTCTGCAACAATTTGGCGGGAGAGAGCCGCGGGATGGCTATCAGATATGTATGTATGTTGTTGTAAAATTGTTTTGATAGGCAATAATATTACACATTTGTTCTATTCATATGCCATGGCAGACTTAAATTCATTTTACTTTCAAAACTACAAGAAATCACGACTATAATTGCATTGGTTTCATCAACCAGGTAATCAATTAAGAACGGCGAGTTTTTGCATAGCTGCGAAGTTAAATTGAGGAATGCCATTTCATCGAATGAGTCAATGTGAAAAGATCCTTAGTTTGTGTAACTTGTATATAGGTATCAGCAACATATTATGTTTTGCCTCCATATTAGAAACACAGAGACTATGAGAGTGGCTTTTTGATGGACAGTGAGATCGATGCTGAACGCTCTCATGGTCCGTAAAGAGTGGATCGATTCTCAACAAAAAAAAGGGCGATCCACCTCGTGATCAAGAAAGTCCTGAAGCTCCTCCGATTCGCTAGCGGTCTCTTTCGATCTCTCTGCTCTTGGTTACAAACACCTATGCAACATCGTTAGCCGGTTAAGATTCTGAAACCCACTACTGATTGTAGGTTATCTTGGAGGGGTTGAAAGGCAACTTTCACATTACTAAAAGCCAATTGGTGATGATGCGTGGGAGCATTGATGATGCTATTGAGTTCTTATTTTAGAGATCCCTCGCCCACAGCAATTCAGTTTGGTGATGTTAGGCTGCAACCAATCCTACCAAATACTCATTACTAAAAGTGAAAAGTCAAACCCTATCTTTGGATTGAGATGGAGATGGACCAGTTTCTTTTCTTTCTTTTGCCTCACATATGACATATGCTTCGACAACAAGGAATGCTATTGCACTTCTCAAAAAAAAAAAAAAAAAAAAAGGAATGCTATTGCTTTTTATGTCTCAAATGCAAAGTTACATGACCCATGGCAGATTGGTGACCTTACCTACTTGATAACAGAAGAAGAGGGTATAACCACACTCCACGCTCAAAACCATACTAAATCATATGTATATTTTATAATAAATTTAAGAGACAGTAATCGGTAATATTTTAGTCTTCGCTGGTTCAAATTTTTCGAAAATAGATTTCTAGCTCTTGTTTAGATTACTGACTCTGACTCCACCCTAATCCTTTGAACTTTTTCTTTCATGGTACACTATTTTTCGAACATTTGATTCTATTATACCCCCCTTTTATGAGATTTGACCGTGTAAGACTACCCACAACAAGATGGAGAAAAGAGGGAAAAAGGGAAAAAAAGGGTGGGAAATCCCACAATAGGGTAGGGGGAAAAGGAAAGAAAGGAAAAATGATAGGGTTTTTCCTTCACTAGAGGACAAATGGAGGAGGGGAAAAGGGAAAGAGGTGGGTGGGACCCGATGGTTTTTGTTTTTGTTTCTTTCTTTCTTTTTTGATTGTTTTAGTTGTTTTAATTAGTGATAATTGTGTGTTATTGACTAACAATCATATTTTTCAACATTCATATTTTTTAACAGCAATATTTTCAACAATCATATTTCCAACATCTATATTTTTCGTTATTGATGACGTCATATTTAATTAGTGATAAAAAAAATTATGTCCAAATTTAAAAAAAATCATATTGAAATGTTTATCTTAATTAATTATTACTACCTATATAAAAATCATGAATAAATTATCTTAATAAAATGATGAGATCAACACTAAATTGATTTTGGCAAAAAACCTCTTTATGAATTACCCTATTTTCCCTTCCCACCTATTGTGGTCAAACCCTTTCACAAACCCTCACTTCCCTCTTTTCCCACCCAAATTTCCCTTTTTTCCTTATCACCATTGTGGATGATCTAAGATCTTTCGGTTTGAAAATAATAATTCTTACAAAAGCCTTTTCTCAAAAGCTCAGAGAACAACCATTTCAAAGATGAGAGTTACCACTTCCTTTTGTTGAAGTGACTAGTGAGTAATTAACTGGTAATCATGTTCACATGTACGCTGCTCTCCTGTTTCATGAGTACCGAGGGGGGAATTGGAAAACTTGTTTAGAAGATCAGAAACTAACTAGCCATTAATGAGAGTGTCTGGAATCTTTTCCTTTTTTTAACAAGTACACGTCTAAAGAGAAATTACGTTCTTTTTTGCCAGAAACCAAAATGCACTCCATCTATATATTATGGCCCCGCGCCCCGCGGCAATATATTTTTTTTTTGTGTGTGTGGCTGTGTGCTTTTCTCGGAATTTTAATTTAGCTTATTGGAGTGGTAAATATCTTTATGGTACCTTATAGTGTCGAGTTCAATCCCTCGCATGAACATAATTAGCGATTTATTATGTATTTATCAAAACATACTTGTATCTTGTAACAGACCAATACCCCTTAACTCCGCAATATAGGTTAGTCTATTGATGTGGATCATGTATTATCATCGTCTTACCTGTTAATTTATATATCAAGAACATGACACTTAGATGCATATTTTTATTTTTGAATGCATATACATAATGTTAAAATATTTGAAAATTTAATGAAGTGTTATTCTTAATCTTAAAATCAAAATTTTAAAAACGTCAGATAACTACTCGAAATATAATTGTGTTTTTCTCGAAAACATTTCACTTACATTTTGCACTTTCATGTGTACCTGACACCCGACCGGGCCGTCCACGAGCTAGCAAGGCACGACACGGTTAGAGCATGGGTACGAAATATGTGTCAGCACGACACGAGCGAAAATACTTCATGGGTCGTGTCATGCCGAAACTTCATGGTCATAGACACGAACGCATGCACCAACGGTCTATAAGTGGGTCGTGTCGGACCTATTGATTTTTAGACTCTATTGAGTATACGCACGACATGACACGATTTTTTTTATAGAAAATAAACATAAAGAGAATTATTAAGTTCTACTATTACAAAATAAAACTTCACAAATAACTATTTATAGTTATTACTTATTAGAAGTGAACATAAAGATATTATATGTAATTACTATCATAAATAAAAATGATAAAAGACACATGTAGGTAAAATTATACTTGCTATACTTTCAATTTTCTTCTTCCTCTTATTTGTTAATTTTCTCAAACATTCATATTTAATACTTTTATTCCCCGCTCAATTTTATCCTTCTTTTTTATTCCCTCTTTTAATTTTTTTCCTTTTCTTTGAGTACGAATATGAGCACGACACAAGTATGAATATGCACATACAATTCAAATCGTATATGAGCCTGGCAAATTTCAAAAAATGAACTAACACGACACGGAGTTCGACAGATCGTATCAAACATGACACGAGATAAACAGGCCAGAGCCGTGCTCGTATCGTGCCAGCCCAAGTACGGCCAATCGCCCAGGCACACAGTTTAAAGTATTCTAATAATAACGACGATAATATTTATATCAATTCGAAACCGAAGCACACCATGGAACCCTTCTCCGAAACCAAAGTACATGGCTAAGTTTCTGTTGACACCTAAAATTAATTTGGCCGAAATTAAATGCCGCATTAATTAGTCTCGGCATTTAAGTCGATACCGTGGGTAAAAAACGGTGTCGTTGGGAGTCGAGCAGTGTCGCGGAGAACTAAAACGGTACCTCAAGGAAGCTCAGCGGTACCACAACGCTGGAAATGACACCGCTGGCCGAAAATAAAAAAAGAGGGCCGTGTGTTTAATGGGGTTGGAGGAGGAGTCTTTAATTGTTTAATTATTATTTTTTATTCCTTGTGAGAAGCGGCACCGCGGGGAGTTAAAACGGTACCGCGAGTAGGCCCAACGGTACCGCGGATTAGCAAACGACAGTGTTTAATAATAAACAGTGTCGCGGAAGAAAAAACAAACGGAGCTGGTTGGGAAAGAAAACGACACCGCAAGGCTGGAAGCGGAGTCATTTAATGTTAAAACGATGTCGCGGGTAGAATCAAGCGGTGCTGCTCAGTTAAAAACGACACCGTTTAAGGCATCAACAACGCCGCAGTATCACTAAGCGGTGTCGTTTAGTTAAAAACCATACCACAATGGTTTGGATTTTGGCGAGGCCTGGCAAGCACAACGGTGCCGTTTGGTTGAAAAAGAAACAATGTCGCGGAATGGAAAACGACATTGTTTGTCAGCATCGATTAGTGAAAGGTGATGCCGCGGTATTGGTGAAACGACATCGTTGCATGGACAAGGTTGTAGGATTTGGCTTTTCGCCAAGTTTCTGCAAACAGGAGCGGTTTCGATGGCACGTGATTTTTACGCAAAGCAGAAAGAGGAGATCAAGGCAGTTGAGACACGTGAGATTTCACAACGGAGCAGTTGAGGAAGCGGTTCCACCGAGCGTGAAGGCTACGAAGCAGTTTTTCGAATAAAAGCAGTGGAGCAAGGAGAGAGAAAGGGACAACAAAAAATCAACACAGAACAACTCTGTCAAACTTATCTTTTTCTCTGTAACTCCTTCGCGGAGCTCTCCTTCCAGGAAGGATCTCCATAGTTGTAGTCTTAGTCGTAGTCGCGGAGCTCTCCACGGGAATCTCCATAGGAGTAGTCGTAACGTAGATTCCCCAAAAACTCAAACACCCTCGTTCGAACGTAGTTTGGAGAGGTGCGAACCGTAGTAACGGTCGCGTTGGTTAGAAGTCAGAGGTGAATCGATTAAATCAACGATCCGACATTCGGTGGCGGATATTTGACGGTCACGTCGATTTCACCATTCAGAGGTGCATCGATCAGATCAACACCGCCCGGTGGATATTTGACGATCGTCATCGATTTCAGCAATCAGCGGTGCATCCGATCAAACGGCACCGCAAGAGTTTCCACCGCGAAACATCAAATCAACATCGCCGGAAACGAATTCGGCATCGGCGGTGGTATTTGGTTTCCCCGAGGAAACAATTTGGCACACCTGGTGGGACACGTGTGTTTGACACGGCTCCGCGTCGAGGAAATCAAGATCGTGATCTTCCACACGTACCTGTGGAGGAGGAGGCGCCCGACATTGAAGTTGGTCAGGCGAACGAGGCAGATAGACGTACTCAAGGGATGGAGGAGCTGCTACATGCTGAAATCCTGTATCTACGTCAATCCATGGAAGAGTTTCACCAATCCATGAAGGATTTTCACCAAGAGGTAAATCTCCAATTTGATAATCTTGAAAAGAAAATGGATAAGTTTGAAAACAACATAGATCGATGGTTTGATAAGTTGGATGACTGTGTTTCTGATTTTAGTATGTCAATACATAGAGCCACATGTGATTTTGATGTGTTTAAATATGAAACCATGTCTGTTGCGTGCGATGATTTGATGGTTGATCGGCTAGCCAATGTCAACCAAACGCCATCGACGAGTATGGCTACAACATTGTTTCCAAAAGCCAAGGAGCCGAACGTGTCTTTTCCTGTGAACAACATTATTCTTAAGGACACGCAAGTTGGAGGTGGCTTGCAGAAACCACCACAAAGAAGCCAGTATCAACGTACTTCTAATAAGAATGAAAATAAGAATCAGGGTGGAGAACCTGGCTACAAGCACGTTGAGCATGGAAAACTCACATATGATGTGTTGTCAATCCAACGTCACGATGATGTTCGATCCAAACCACTAGGGGGGCATGAGATCCCACTGCAAGGCGGGTTGAAGGAGAAACAATATCACAAGTGGCGAAGCAGTTTGCCACATCCACCCTGTTCTAGGAAAGATCATATGTGGGTTGCCACAAACACTATTCAATATGGAGGTGGTGATCACGTGAAAACCCCCAAGGCCACGAAAGTTGGTGTAACTTACCTAGATCCTTCGTGTAAGTTGTCCCCAAAGCCGCCACCGAGTGAAGTGGGGGGCAAGTTCAAGCAAGCCCGACATGGAGTTGCCACACCAGTGTCTAGGAGGAACAAGTCTACTATGAATGGTGGATTGGGGGGCAAGTATAATACTCTACAAACTCCAAAATCACACGGGAGCTCAAAAGAAACGATGTGGAGGTGTGGTAAGTGTCGTGGTAAACAAAACACCCACACACTGGTCGGTGAAGCTCGTAAGCATCGGTGCTTATACTCACAGCAACATGGTGAGAGTGCGAAACTGACAAAACCAGACCTGTTTGGGCAAGCAACGCCACATGGTCGACTTGGTAAGACAAAGGTGTCAAAAAACGTGAAGGTCTTGCCTAGAGCCAAGAACGCATATGATTTTTCATTCCGCGAGGCTGAGAGGAGACCAAATCAGGCTCGTGGAGTTTCGAACAAAGGCGTTCGAGCTGAACAACCTGGAGAGGTGCAAGCCAACATTACTCCCAAAACATCAAAACCAACATGTGTGAAGCCAACAAGTCAGGGTATTTATGGATGGCTTGTTTGGTTTGATCAGTGGAGTTGGCAGTGGGTGTGGACTTTTGGCATGATGGTTTATGCTAAAGCCAACCCTGTTTTTGTGTAGATATTATTAAAATAAATAAATATGGCTATTTAAGCCACATAATGTCTAGAAAATTTTATGAAAAAAAACGGCATTGATAAGCTTGCCGCAGCATTGTGGGGGGGAAAATCACAGTTGGCCTTTTAATAGACAAGTAAAAGCAACGTTGATGTAAGTGTAAACGACACTGGTTTGACCAAATTTTATTTTATTTATAAAAAAAAAGCTGGAAATATATTATTTGTATGGCCGCATGAAAAAAAAAATATTTATGCAGCTCTGCCGCTGTTGCCCCAGCCCTGATTAGAAAAAAAAAAAAAGGGTAAGAGAGAGCGGCCGATCAGCTCTGGCGAAAAAATTTTTTTTTATAGAAGCAGTCATGCAGCGCTGGTGGAGAATAATAAAAAAAAAAAATTTGTCTCTCAGCGCTGCCGTTGTGCTAACAGCCCTGATATATAATAATAAAAAAAAAAGTCTCAGCGCTGGCGTAAATTTGACAGCCCTGATATATAAAAAAGAAAAAAAAGATTGCCGGTTGTGGGAAGGAGGCCGCCAGGTCTGATAAAAAAGGGGAAAGAGTCAGCGCTGCGGCTGATGCGGAAAACAGCTCCGATAAAAAAAAAAAAAAAAGAAAACAGCTCTGTGATGTTTAGGCCGCAGGGCTGCGGAGACAAAGCAGGTGTCGGACTCCTCCATTTTGGCCGCATGATTGCTTGGCATGGATTGATTTTAATATAATATTATTATTTTATTAGACATCTCTCTTTGTTATGTCTTTTACGTTGGAAGAAGAGGGATAACAGCAAACAAAATTGTGTTTGGCCGCCGCAGTGTTGCATGGTGTGGCCACAAGGAAATTTCACAATGGCAAGACAACGAGACAAGGTATAAGCTCGTTGTTGCATTGGCATAAAAAATCAAGGAGCAGTGGCGATCATTAGGTTTCAAGGCTCAATTCAAGCAATGTTGTGAAGCAAATTCTTGGCCTAGGATTGCAATGTTGCTATTGTTTTTTGCATGGGTTGCTTTTAGGTGTTGTGGACTATGTCAACAATTTGGTTCATAATTCTTATAAACCAAATTGTGGGGGGCATTTGTTGACACCTAAAATTAATTTGGCCGAAATTAAATACCGCATTAATTAGTCTCGGCATTTAAGTCGATACCGTGGGTGAAAAACGGTGTCGTTGGGAGTCGAGCAGTGTCGCGGAGAACTAAAACGGTACCGCAAGGAAGCTCAGCGGTACCGCAACGCTGGAAACGACACCGCTGGCCGAAAATAAAAAAAAGAGGGCCGTGTGTTTAATGGGGTTGGAGGAGGAGTCTTTAATTGTTTAATTGTTATTTTTTATTCCTTGTGAGAAGCGGCACCGCGGGGAGTTAAAACGGTACCGCGAGTAGGCCCAACGGTACCGCGGATTAGCAAACGACAGTGTTTAATAATAAACAGTGTCGCGGAAGAAAAAACAAACGGAGCTGGTTGGGAAAGAAAACGACACCGCAAGGCTGGAAGCGGAGTCATTTAATGTTAAAACGATGTCGCGGGTAGAATCAAGCGGTGCTGCTCAGTTAAAAACGACACCGTTTAAGGCATCAACAACGCCGCAGTATCACTAAGCGGTGTCGTTTAGTTAAAAACCATACCACAATGGTTTGGATTTTGGCGAGGCCTGGCAAGCACAACGGTGCCGTTTGGTTGAAAAAGAAACAATGTCGCGGAATGGAAAACGACATTGTTTGTCAGCATCGATTAGTGAAAGGTGATGCCGCGGTATTGGTGAAACGACATCGTTGCATGGACAAGGTTGTAGGATTTGGCTTTTCGCCAAGTTTCTGCAAACAGGAGTGGTTTCGATGGCACGTGATTTTTACGCAAAGCAGAAAGAGGAGATCAAGGCAGTTGAGACACGTGAGATTTCACAACGGAGCAGTTGAGGAAGCGGTTCCACCGAGCGTGAAGGCTACGAAGCAGTTTTCCAGGAAGGATCTCCATAGTCATAGTCGTAGCGTAATCGCGGAGCTCTCCACGGGAATCTCCATAGGAGTAGTCGTAACGTAGATTCCTCAAAAACTCAAACACCCTCGTTCGAACGTAGTTTGGAGAGGTGCGAACCGTAGTAACGGTCGCGTTGGTTAGAAGTCAGAGGTGAATCGATTAAATCAACGACGCCGACATTCGGTGGCGGATATTTGACGGTCACGTCGATTTCACCATTCAGAGGTGCATCGATCAGATCAACACCGCCCGGTGGATATTTGACGATCGTCATCGATTTCAGCAATCAGCGGTGCATCCGATCAAACGGCACCGCAAGAGTTTCCACCGTGAAACATCAAATCAACATCGCCGGAAACGAATTCGGCATCGGCGGTGGCATTTGGTTTTTCCGAGGAAACAGTTTCAAACTTAAAATGGGATCCCATCCTTCTGATGCACTTCCCCTGCAGCCACTTCGCACACTGAAAAGGCAACCAAAGTAGTTTCTGATGCACTTCTTCTTTATTTTCTCCCTTCCCTACCCGTGATTGATGGCAGCATTTCATTCATTCTCAGTTCTCATATAAATACATACTCTGCATCCCCCCCAACTTTCCCTTTAGTTTCTGCTATTTTAGAACCATGCCCACATTACACTTCCTCTCTTCTCCCCCTTTTTCCCCCACTTTAAGTCACTCTCAAGCTAGCATCAACCCAACCACCAATTCTCACTTCTTTAGTCGAGCGAGTCACAACTGAATAAAGCTCCAAACCCTCTTCCATCTCTCCACCTCAAAACTCTAAACTCCATTCACACACTCCACCTCAAAAATCACACATGGATTGGTTCTCATGGCTGTCCAAGACCGGGCTCGATCCATCTCTGGTGTACGAGTATGGTGTAGCCTTCACCAACAACGAGCTAGAGGAAGAAGACATAGCATACTTCAACCATGAGTTCCTCCAAAGCATGGGGATCTCCATCGCCAAGCACAGGCTGGAGATCCTGAAGCTTGCCAGGAAGGACAAATTCGTCAGGGGAGGAGGGTACAATCGCCCACATCCCATTGCAAGGATGGTGGTTGCAATCAGAAGAACTCAGAGGAGCTTGGCCAAGTACCTCAGGGCATGGATTGGGAGGCAGGAATCCGCGGCGGCAGGGGGGCTTATGGTGGTTCCTAGGAGGAAAGGAGCCATGCCCAAGAGACACATCAACAACAACAACAACAACCAGCTGATGATGAAGAAGAAGGTGATGATGGTGAGCACTGGTGACTGTAAGCAAGAGAGGCTTCTGCTCACTAATGGGAGCCCATTAATGGTGAATGGGCTTGCTGGTGGTGGCAGTACCAGGCTCATGAGCAGCTTCTCGAGGATGTATGGAGTGGAGAAACTAATGGATGGTGGTGGTGATGATGATTACTGTCATGATGATCCTTATGATCATCACCAGGGTAATTTTGATGATGAACAAGTCTACTACTGGTCAACTCCTGCTGAAGAGATCAGGTGGGATGCTATGTTCCAGAACTTGAAACCAACTTGATTGATTTCAATAGGTTTCAGGTTTTTGTGTTGTCACTGGTGAGAGATGTGGGTTTTTTTCCCCTTGCGTTCTTCCACCAGAGATTGTTGTCTCTTTATGTTTCCCCTGTTATTTATTTGTTTAAGAAATAGCAGATGAATTTAATTATTATATTGAGACGGGATAATTGGAGCTCTTCGATATCCATTAATATCCTATTGTTAATCTCAGTCGTTGAATCGGATAAAAAAACAATATTACCATTTTGATTCAACGATTCAAAAATCAAAATTAATTAAGGAAAATAGTTCGATGATATGAACACGAATCGATCCCGTATCATCAGCATGCTAGCCAGTTCAAGTGGGTGTTGGTGGGTTCAGATGTACTTTAGATGTCTAAAGTCTTGTGCCTTGTTTTCCTCTTTGTAATGAGATTGTCTCCCCTGCTTTTTTACTGGTCTGCTGGAATCTTTTTATGTAATAACATGGAAGCAAAGGAGGGGGAGAGCCTGAGTTTGTGGGATGAACATTGTGAGAACATCTTTTATCTTTACCTATTTTTGCTTATGCAGCAAACTCTATTTCTGGGTATTTTTCCCCCACATTTTCTAATATTTTTATTTTTCTATTGTGTTACTTGATTTGAGAGTAGGAGAGGGTGTGATTCAAGATAAGGAGGGGAAAAGAGATAATTTCTTATGAGAAAACTTTTGTGGAGAACAAGGGAAAAGGGGTGAAGTTTGCTTTGGCATCACGTTAACTTGGAGTAAGAACGTGTGCAACCAAATGGTAAACACAAATTTTGATGAATATAATTATAAAGTTATTTGAATTTGACATTATTGTTTGTATTTTGTTTTTTACTTTTCTCATTTGTACATTAAATCTTTTTAGTGATGGTAATTTATCGCAAAGTCGTTTGAACATGATATACGGAGATTAAAATGAAACTAAGATTAGGTATAGAGAATAAGAAGAGACTTAGGGGTCGTTTTGAAAGTTAGAATTTTGGATGATGTATCTAGACAAAGATAATACATGTAATTTGGATAATTCATTGTTTTATCTTAAAATGAAATACAATACTTGTAATTGAGTATGAAACCACCAGAATCATTCACCAAAATACAATATTTGTATTTGATTGTCAATCTTTCATTTTTTCTTCCTCATTTTTTGAGGAATCTCCAAACTTATTCAACTTCTAAGCAATGTATTTTTCAAATTCATACATTAAAATAATATATCTAATAAAAATAGATAAATTAGTTAAATGCATCAATTTAAAAAATAATTAATCTAATTAAAATAAATTAATTAATTAAATGAATCCACGTTGTCCGATATTCCTTATCAAATGCTGAAAATTATATATTCATAACCTAATTGGCCGAATACTAATATAACTAACTATTATCTACTAGTAACTACCCCAACCCCAACCAATACCATATCAGTACTTTCTTGTCCATAATATCTTGCAATGGCATTAACACAACATATACCTTGCATGAGTTTTTCTTATCTTTTTTCAGTGTGATCCTATATAGCAGACAAATAATACAGTTTACTTCACCCATTTTTTCCTCTTGGAATTGGATTATCCATCCACTCCACGAACTGAACTCCCGACTCTCTTAAAGATTAGGCCATGAATATGAACAAGACTCGCTTTTATCAATTGCGACGTAAGGGATGTGGTGTATGATGGGCCAGTATTGTCCTTTATGCTTTGCACATTTTTGCTGCGAGGACATTCACAAAGTTTCAAGCACCCGAGTGATGAGGGGAGCCCCTCAGGTAAAAAAAATGGAGTTTCGAACAGTCCATAATCACCTGCTCTTCTAATGAACTGAGGCACATCAAGCCCTTAGATATAGACTTCAAGTTACCGAGGTTTCCAATGTGGAGAAAAGTTAGTGAAGTCGGGAGCAACAACCCTCCATCGTCTGGGAAGGAATCCATCCGATCAATAATAGGACATTCCCCTACAATTGAGAGTCACTTTAGTGAGTTAAGCCTGTTCAGCCTCCACTCGGACATTGGTTGCTTGAGACTCCTGCAATTCCTAATAGCAAGCATGATTAGGTTCAAGGGTAACCCGCCTTCCGGAAAGGACTATAGACTCTCACAACCTGCTATCTCTAGAAGTCAAAGAGAGGTGATGTGTGGCAGTTGATTGGGAAGAGAACTCAAACTCTTGCAATGCCCGAACCTGAGACATTTTATGGCGAGGAGCAAAGGTACCCTCCATAGGGAGAACCTCTCCAACTATGGACTGCATGCTATTGATAATTCAGTGAGTTGAGGCAGAACAAGATGGCGCAGTAGATCTTCTACAGACTGTGTTGAGAGGTTGCAGATTGAAATAGGCTTCAACAAACTAGGAAACATGCCATTAGTGGGTAAGTTTGAGAGAGATGAACATACAGAGAGTGTCAATTCCTCTGAGAATTTGTGTTCGTCATAAGAAAGGACTTCAAAGAATCACAACTTGAGATAAAGACAAAACTATTGCTCGATGGCAAGCCTCGTTTTGAGAAGGAGACAACCTTTGGGCAATGCTGAAAAACTAGTCTTTTAATATGCAACACATATGGGAACTTCTCAAGTTTTGGGCAGTTATCTAAGCGCAAGGATTCAAGACTGAAAGGAAGAGGCCCTTCTCCTAGAAACATAAGGTCTTCACAATCCTGAATGGACAGGTCATTCAAAGAAGGAAGTTCCCCCAAGCCATGTATGATCACTTCTTGCAAATTTACCTGCCTTGAAATCTTCCTGATCCTTAATATGGCAAGCGATTTCAGACTAGATACATTTATGAGCATCATCATGTTACACTCTTGAATAGACAATTCTGAAAGTGAAGCAAGTGCTTCAGGTAAATCAGCCAGCAGTTGGCACCCATGAATTTCCAGTACTTGGAGGCAAGGAAGGGAGTTTGGCAAGCTTCCAATCAACTTGGGGCAGTTCCAGACTGTAAGCTTAAGCAACTTCGGGAAGCATTTAGTCGACACACCAAGAGAACAAGAAGACCATTTTTCCAACTCCATATCCACTATACATAAAGTCTCCAATTGTGGAAATAGACAAGGTAAATATGATCCAATGCCCATATTATAATTCCCATAAAATTCACCTCCGATTTGTTTCACTTTATCCATTCCACTGATTTTCAGAGTTTTAAGCAAGGGTAGCTGCCCGATTGGAGGAACTGACCTAATTTTATGACAATGGAAAAGCTCCAAATGCACCATATCAGCAAATGTGGGGTCTCCAACCCATACTGGGAACTGTATGGTAGGGGTGAACAAATACACCTGCAAACCGACCCACCCGTCCAACCCGACCCAACCCACCCGTATTTATCGCTATAACTAAGGTTTTGGGTTGGGTGAGGGTTTTTTTTTTGTACAACCCGTCTCTTTTGGGTTGGGTTTGGATTTTGGATTACACAACCCGTAGAACCCGACCCAACCCGTGTTCCAACTATTGATATGAGTTCGTATCCAAAAAAATATTTATGTCGTATATAGTAATACTTATGAGAAAATTAAGATATTTCGCTATGTTTTTCTCACATGGTCTCTCTAATCTAATGCATTTTTTGGGTTAAAGTTTAGACATAGATTTAATATAGCTATGATTCACGTAATCCTTTTTCTTCTATACAATTTTAATAGAATAACATATTATGGATGCGTTCGTTTATAACATTTTTAGCCTATTTCAACAAATGTCATGAAAAAAAATAGATATATGTTGAAGTAAATCACATTTTATTAAAATTTAAACAACATTTGTGAATTTTGATACATTTCACCTCCGTTTATTCGTTTGAAATTTTAATTAGTTATAAAATATTTTTATGGTGTAGACTAATTACATATTTTGTGTTGGGTTGGGTTTTTACTTAAAAATATCGTCAACCCGACCCAACCCAATTAGAGACAAACCGTAGGGTTTTAATTTTTTTGGGTGGGTTTGGGTTTAATATTTCCCAAACCGTAGAGCATGGGTCGGGTGATTAAAATGGCTAAACCCGAACCACCCGACCCATGTACACCCCTACTGTATGGCGCCATAAAATTGAACTGAAAGCTTTTTCAGCTTCCAGTGAGGTCGTAGTAAGTTCAACACCTCTAGCTCAACTGTTTCATCATGAACGCAATGGGAGTCAGTACACCATTCCAAGGCCAAATCATCAAGACCTTGCTTGTCTTTTAAATCGGTAAGCTCCGCATCTCGGATATCAACAACATTACTACACAACCCTTTATGTGAATCTTTCCTTGAAGTTGAGAAAAATTCTTCAAGTCTAGTATCCGAAGCCCTGTCCCCTCCTTACCTACCACAAACTTGGGTAAAATCATGAGATTTGTCAACTTAGCTATCTCTGCTGGAAGCTTTTGCAAGCTGACCGTGTTACTAATGTCGAGCCAATGTAGATTGTTCAGATTACCAATATTCCGTGGCAGCTTACCAAGCTTACAGCACCCATGTAATTTCAAAATATGCAAGTTGATGAGATCACCTAACCGTTCAGACAAGCCAATGATGTTAGTGCACGACAAGTTAAGATACCGCAAATGCCTCAGGGTAAAAGTTATATCTGGCAACGCCTCTATTTTATAACCAGATAATGAAAGTACCCTCAGATATTTTAGTTTTGGCACCAATTCAAGCAACACTCGGCTGGACAAAAAGTCATTTGAATATGTTGCAAATGGCAATGCTGAGAAAGATCGCAAGTTCTTCATATGGGAGAAGACTTCAAATTGTTGTATCAATTCATACTTGTGACGACTGAAAGAAGAATACCAAACTTTTGAGAATGATTCTGTACCTTCCAACCTGCCATCATCTAGCATGAAGCATATCCCTTTACTCTCATACTCTGCTAGATCATTCATCAAATCATGCATGGTAAATAGAGATTGGTTATCACATCCTCTAAAAAAAGATGGGTTTCATTCGATCATTGGAAGAATGATTTTGACAATAGATCATGAAAATATTTGTGGCCCAAGTCCTTTGCAGACTTCTTATCGTTTGGTTGCACAAGCAAGCCCTCTGCCATCCACAGTAACACCAATTCATCCTCCTCAAATTCTATGTCATAAGGAAGTACTGCACAATAGCCAAAGCATCGCTTCAAGTGTGAAGGAAGGTGATGATAGCTCAACCTCAAGGTAGGAAGAATACCATTGGTCCTAGGCAAATCCCATATTTTGTTGTTCAACACTTCTTCCCATTGCTTAGTGTTCTGTTTACCTCGTAACAGCCCCCCAAGAGCCTTAACAGCTAAAGTCAACCCTTGACACCTTTTGACAATTTCTTTTCCAACTTCTTCTAAATATGAATATGATGCGGAAGTCGTTGCTCCCTGAGCATGATCAGCAAATAGAGAAAGGCAATCATTGAAAGATAACTAATTGAGAAGATAAGGTGGAACGGTACCCATGATTGATGATACACTGCCATTACAAGTGGTGATGAGTATTTTGCTTCCTAGAGCTCCTCTTTCAAGTGGAGCGCGACAAAGAATCCACTTCTGGTAATCCTCATTCCAAACATCGTCCAAAATAATAAGAAATTTCTTCCCATACAACTTTTCCTTAAACTTCTCTTGCAACGAATTTAAATCATTACCACCAGAACTATCTGATCCTATAATGGTCTTGGTTATCCTATGAACATCAAAATCCTCACCAATTGAAACCCAAGCTGTTAGATCAAACTCTGGTTACGCCCGGCTAAGAACAGGCTGTGCAAGGGTGGTCTTGCCAAGTCCCCCATCCCAATTATAGGAATCACAGATACATCTTTATCACTTTGGTTAGCTCTCAAAATTTCCAAGATGGCCAGCCCATCTCCATCTCTCCCATAAACTTTGCTCTCATTCACTAGAGAAGTCGTTGGCAACCTTTTTGTTGCCATTGGTATCCAGATGATTTTTCTCTGCAGAGATCTTCTGCAATCTAACAGTTTTTCTTGCACCTTTGACACCATTTCGGCATTAAACTTGAGTGTTCTCGGATTGATGCCAGAGAAATAAGTGGGAATTAGTTTCCGAACCTTACTTGTGCTAGCTGAAGCAGCTTCTGCTTTGATCTTCCTCTGCAATTGCTCTGTAGCAAAGATATCAAGCACATCTTCTACATCGTAAGCCAAATCGCGAAGCTCGATTACCCAGATGCTGATCATTCGGCTCCTCATCTGCTTCTCCTCGGCATCATCAAGCACTGGATAGATCTTTTTCAGTAGACTCGTCCACCTGTTGAGCTCGGCCACGACTTGGGCCAATCTAGTTATGCTCCTAACAAGGGCTTTTGTTAGGAGATACTGACAGGGTCAGATGGGCCTCCACGTCGCCAAGCCGTCATCCATCGATGGAGGAGAAAACACACCATAATGTGGGAGGAGAGCTGATTCCATCGCCTGGGCCAAGCCCACGACGGCTTGCGGGGCCCGCCGGGCCCAAAAATTCAAAAACTCAAAAAAAAAAATTACCCTAAACCCTACCACTTTTCAGTTCTTCGCCAAATTGGTTTTCCCCCTCTCTCTCCCTTTCCTCTCCTTTTCCCTTTCCTCCTCTCCCGAACGCATACGAAGCGGCCACGCGGTGCAGCAAACTCGGCGGCAGCGATTTGCAGCGAACTAGGCGGAGCTGCTTTGCGGCGAACTCGGCGGCGGCGACATTGCAGCGAACTCGGCGGGGGCGACGAAGCAGCGGCGACGAAGGGGTTGGTTGAAGGCGGTCGCTGACGAAAGAACAACTTCGTTGACTGGGGTAGCTGAGTTTTTTTCTTTCTTTGTTCATGGATACTCATGTTCGTTTGAGTATATTGGAGTTAGGTTTTCATTGCTTTGACTAGATCTGGGTTTTCTTTTCCCTACGTTTTCCCTGGATGAGTTTGATGGATTTGTTTTCTGGTAACTTAGATTTGACTTGATCTGGGTTGCTTTCTTTTTTGGATTTTGTGGATATGTTTTCTAGGTTTGTGGATTTGATTGGATCTGGGTTTGGGTTGCTGGGTTTGTGGATTTTGTGGATTTGACTGGATCTGGGTTTCTTTGTTTTCTGGGTTTTGTGGATATGTTTTGTGTGCGTTTCGATATTAGTTATGTTCGGGCAGGATATTAGTTTTCAATTGTCTGGATAGTTGTGTGGTTGGGATCCTGGATTCGATTTGTAGATCCTAAACATTAGTTCGTTTCATAGTGGATAACAACTAGCATGCTTGTGGATATCTTTTCTGGGTTTTTGGATTTGATTGGATCTGGGTTCGGGTTGCTGGGTTTGTGGATTTGACTGGATCTGGGTTTTGTGGATATGTTTTATGTGCGTTCCGATATTAGTTAGGTTCGGCCAGGATATCAGTTTTCAATTGTCTGGATAGTTGTGTGGTTGAGATCTGGGATTCGATTTTTGTAGATCCGAAACATTAGTTCCTTTCATAGTGGATAACAATTAGCATGCTTGGGATACTACTTTTTTTATGATGTGGATATGGTTCTGTAATTGTTTGTTCGGATATTAGTTATGTGATGTCTCGATATTTATTTTCTCCGTCTTGATATTTCTCTGCCTTATATGGATGCTAGTTCACTTATATTAGTTTTGTGCGGTTGAGATATCTGTTATATTATGTCTGGATATTTATTCGTTGCATCTGGATATTACTTCTATAATGTTAGTTCTGTGATGTCCAGATATTGAAAATATTATGTTTGGATATTTGTCCTCCATGTTAGTTACCTTATGTTAGTTATGTGTGGCTGGGATATCAGTGGATTTATACCTGGATATTTATAGCTCCAGGGATATTGGACAATGGCAAGAACGAAAACAACAACGAAGAGACCGTGACTAAGAGAAGGATCATCCCAACCTCGTCGTGGCATGATCGAGAATTAGGCCAAGCAAGAAAACATTTGAACTACTCCTTTTCCGTTTTTTTATGTGGTTGTACTTTTTTAGATTTTAGATTATGTGATTGCCAAGTTGGAATGACATTAAATACTAGTTGTATCACGGTTTATCAAAAAACGACTTTGTTTTATTATGGATTTGCTTAAACTAAATATCAACACAAACAAACATAGGTAAATATCCACACAAAACAAATGAAAACCACCCAGAATAATATCCGTTCACCATTAAAAAAATCCAGAACACCGAGACTAATATCCCACCGCCTAAGACCAATAATCCAGTCAGCCCGTAATTAATATCCTCACCATACAGACTAATACCCACCACTTACAGATTAATATATGGATGTCTTAGACTAATATCCGGCTACACAGCCAAAATATTCACACATCGTGAACTAATATCCTCCAATCACATAATAATATCTTATCACCACAGACAAAAATCGACCACCCTACATTGTGTTCAAAATCATTTCCACAATATTGTCTTCTAAACCCGAAACCAAAACTCAAACCCTATACCTGAAATCCTAATCGTAAACACTAAACACAAAGCTTGAACCCTGAACCCTAAACTCTAAAACTCAACCCCAAAATCAAATCCTAAATCCTAAACTCCAAATCCTAAAGTATAAATCCTAATTCTAAACCCTAAAGTCTAAACCCTAACACTAAACCCTAAATTGATGTAATCATATACAAATCAGTAGATAAACATCTACATAGAACAAATATCCAAACCACCCAGACTATTATCTGACCGAAGCAGACTAATACCCACCACACACAAATTAATATCTGACCATCACAGACTAATACCCACCTAACGCAGATTAATATCTAACCATCGCAGACTAATACCAACTACACGTAAACTCTAAACCCTAATCGCTAAACACTAAATTCGTAATCCTAAATCCTAATCGCTAAAGCGTAAATTGGTGTAATATGGTTGACTAAGTGTGTGATGCTAGATGCTTAAATAAACAAAGGATCACATCAGAATACTTATCAAAAGTGCCCCAATATCCGTACAACATAAAAAATATCCACACCACCGAGACTAATATTCGTTCCTACCATAATAAATATCCTCACCAACACTAACTAATATCTTCCGCTCACATACTAATATATATATATATATATATATATATATATATATATGGTTCAGGCTAGCGTACACCTGGTGTACGGTGTACGCCTGCGTTCACACCTATAAATTAATTATTTATAATTTAATTATAATTAAAATAATTATTAATAATAAATATAATAATATAATTACAATCATATCCACTCATTAATTGTTGTTTACGTTTTAGTCCCATATAAATTTTTATTATACATTCCACCGAAATCAATCATTTAACTAATAGTCCTCTAAATTATAGTACTTCTTTTACCAAATTATAAATCTAAACCACCCAAACTTCATAATTATTTACAACTTCATTGCTCCTGTCATTATAACTCATGATCTTGTCGTTTTGTCCTCATTCTTCTCTTCCACTTCGTCTTCTTCATCATAAGTGAGAGACTATATCCTCCTTTCCCTTATCTCCCCCACTGAACAAACACACCCCTTCTCAAGTTGGACCCCAATTCTCAGATCGACTCCACCACTGAACAAACACACCCCTTCTCAAGTTAGACCCCAATCCTCTGTAATTTTTAGGGTTTCTCATCTCTCCAGTTTGAATCTCATCCGCAGCTTTCAATTGATCGATTGAGGCGGATGAACCACAGTTCTCATGTTGTTACCTTATCTCCCCCAAATCAGATCGATCTAAACCCTAAGAAAAATTCACACTCACTTCGCGCATCCCCTGAGCCCCCTTTCTTGTTTTGCCTGTTGCATGGAGCATTAGACTACTCCAACGTTCCCTTTCCCTCCTACCCACGAAGCTTTTCTGTGAGTTCTTTCCACGGCGAGGCTTCTTCTTTGAAACACTTTGTTCTTTTGCAATTTTCTTTCCTTAATTGAAAAGAAAGAAGAGTCGTCAGGTCGCCGGGACTATATAAAGGCGCCGTTCTCTTCTTTGCTCCATAGATCACGGCGGGGAGGCAAGATTTCCCAATCTTTATGATTGCCAAACGGGTTAAAACTTAAAAGGCAGAGGAGAAAAGAAAGCCTCCCCGTCATTGCCCCTTTTCCTCTTTACAGCCCTTTCAAAATCTGGTAAGCGAGCCCCATTTTCTCTTTGCTTTCTCCGATCCAAGGGTTTACGGTGTATTTTGTTTTGGCTGTGTGGGGAATGGAAAAGTTTGTAACTTTATGGCCTGATGCCTGGTTTCCTGGACTTGTCACAGATTTTACCGTGAGAGGGTCGGTTCTGGGTCTGGTTCTCAGAGATTGTTTGCCTGTATTTGATTGTTTGGATGTACGAGGTAGAGAGGAATGGAGTACATTGGTTCCCATGGAGTTGCAGCTATTCACAGATACAAGTACAGCAGAGTTGATCACTCCTATCTTGCCAAATATGTCCTGCAGCCCTTCTGGTCACGATGCGTTAACTTCTTTCCTCTACGGATGCCGTAAGTTGGTTTTCCTTTCATATTTCTGCTTTCAGTTATAACATGATAAAGTTTCAAGACTTTGCTTGGAGTGAACTTCTGTTATGCCATATACCAGAGTTAAGCAATTTACATATTCTTGACTTCCTATGGATCGTGCCTTTGAAAAGTGAGCCCAGTGATATTTATTGTGAAGATTTTCTTTGTAGACAGTAGATATTTGAAACATATGTATGTCATTGATTTATGATCAAGCCTCCAGCTCATGATGCAACGTCCGTTGTTGTTCTTTAGTTGGGTTCAACAATGAATTCTATGTGAGAGAGATAGTCTCTTGCTCCCATGTATTTCTAAGTAAAATGTGATATATGGTATGAAGATAACAAGCTGATTTATCTTACTTACTTCTTGCTCAATTCTTCACTTGATGTATTAGTTTTGGCATCTTCAATTGGTGAAGATGCAATTTCAACCTTGGAAGAGAATTTATGCTTTTGAGGTTTGGAGTCCTTTCGGTGAAAAAAATCATAAAAATAGTCCGGGTACTATCTACCATTGAATGATGGCACTCATTGGTATTTGGCAGGTCTATCTACCATTGAATGATGGCACTCATTGGTATTTGGCAGTGATATTGATAGAATCAAAACAAGTACATCTGGTTGACTCAGCACCTATGACAGACCGCAATGGAAATCGTACGAAAGTTGTAGGGCGCATGGTAAGTACACTGTTGAACATTTGCCATGAGTTTGTTTCGT